GTTTGGGGGGGGGTTGGCTTTTTGGTCATGTCAGCATAGGAAGGTTTTCTATTGCAGCCCTGCAGGATTCAGCTCTGTCTGGTTCATATTTTTATTTGGATTGGGTTCTTTATCTGTGGTGTAAATTCTGTACATGTCCCTTTTCTGTTCCAGTCAAGCACAAACCCCAAGTGATGACTTTTTGTCAGCCCTGTGCTGTTGAAAGGCAGAATCAGAACATCATCCAGACACAGTTTTCCTGCCAATGTCACCACAGCAGGTCCTGTCAAAATCATTCATGAGTCAGTGACAGCAGCTGAATTTAAACACCATAATTTTATCCTTTAAAATTCACCAAAAAATGAGAAAAATATACCAAAAACCACTTATATACTTTATTTTTTCCTTTGGGATCACATAAGGCACACAAAACTCTGCCCACTCTACTGCCTCTGCTTTTTTTTTTAATCCTAAAATGAAGAAAAATGAACTTTTCCGTCATGTTAAAAATTAAACTCATGTATTTCCATGTTAAAAACTTACAGAGGTTTAGAGAAGAGGTTCCCTTATGGCCCTGTTGTTGTCCCCTCATCCCAACATTCTTGATACTTATTTTTGTATATATAGTTTCTCTTTTTTGTTTGTTTCCAAATGAATTCTTTGGTCTGTGAAGCTCTTTAACTGCCTGTAAATCAGTACCTGATATTTTTCAACCAAATTTACATATTTTCCTCAGGAAAATTCCTCTGTTCTTCCAGAGGAACAGAATATTTGTATCAAATACTCAATAAATTCAATACATTCTTATAGAATATTCATACTTAGGAAGAATATGAGCTTTATCATCTTTGGCTGTGACAGATAAAATGTGAAAAAAGCTGTTTCCTATGAATGTTGTGTTTCTCAGTGACTGAAGCATTACTGATGGGAATGTCTGCAAACTGAGGCTGAAACCATTGGAACATGAGCTGTTTCTGTGTACAGCCTGTGCAGCTGCAGACCTTATGGAAAGAAAATTGTTTTGCACTCCTACAAACATTTTTCATTACTCACACATGGAATTCATGTGGCTTTTGTTCTTCCATGCTCACAGGATGGACAGAACCCAGGTCCTCCTCCACTGATACCAGGCCTGGGCCAGCAAGGAGGACAAGGTCGTCTGGGCCCTCACAACCAAGGACCCGGTCTTAATAAAGGTAATTTAACATATTGTCTGTTCTCCTGGGAGTCAGTCTCCTCAAAGAGGGGCTGTCCCAGTGCAGTGCACCCAGGGAGAAATGGCTGCAGCACAGTGCAGGCCCTTGGCTGAGAGAAAAGATATGGGGTGGGATATACAGGAAAAATTTTCTCAGAGATATTGTTTCATGTGAAAGCTATCCCATATGCTTTCTAGAACTGTTTGAACTAGAGCATCCTGAAATGATTTGGAAATGGTTACAGAAACCTGCTGTGATTTTTCTTGTCCCTCCAGGCGATGCCCGTGGGCCACCCAACCATCACCTGGGCCCGCTGTCGGACCGGCGGCACGAGCAGAACAGCGGCGGCCCCGAGCACGGGCCCGAGAGGGGCCTGTTCCGAGGGGGCCAGGACTGGGGCGATGGCAGGGACAGCAGGGGCATGCCCGACAGGCGGGGACCTCACCCCGACTTCCACGACGACTTCGATCGGCCCGACGACTTCCGGGATGATTTCCACCCTGACAAGAGATTCGGCCATCGCTTACGAGAGTTCGAGGGGAGGGGAGGCCCGCCCTTGCAAGATGAGAAATGGAGACGAGGTGGACCTGGGCCTCCTTTTCCTCCTGATCACAGGGAGTTTGAAGGAGGTGGTTCCAACCGGGGCCCTCCTGGTGCTTGGGAAGGACGGAGACCTTCGGATGACAGATACCCACGGGATCCTGAGGATGCGCGCTTCCGAGGAAGGCGAGACGAGAGGTAAGAATGAATCCCTTTCTCTTTCTTGGGTTAAAGGGTAAATGGAGGGAACCCTTTCATTCCTGGTTTCCTTTTCATTAAGGAGTCTATCTGTTTCAGATTTATAAACTGGAAACCAATAAGGAAATGAAAACTCTAATATACCTGAGTGTAGAGTCCATAAAAATCATTCAGTAATAGAAGAAAACTTGAAAAGTGGTCATTGTACACAGCAGCTTCCGTGTCTTTAAACAGTAAGTAAAGAGAAGGGGGAAAGTTTGTAGAGAAGATCCAGTGACACAGGATGAAGATCTGAGACCGTTTTGATGAAAATTGAGAGGAGACTTAAAGGTTAAAGTGACAAACTTTTGAACACTAAAGTGGATTTTGAGATTCTGTCTCCAGTCACAAACTACAGTATGACTGTAGAGACTGTAGGATGAGATGCAATGCCCTTGTAAGGAGCAGGAGCAGTGATGTGACTGCCACATAGAAGGGCCAGACTTACAGCATCTGTTGGACTGTCGAGACTTATTTTTTCATGCATTTGCTTGTAGAAATTTTATTTCTCTGACTTATTTCTTAATGCCAAGCGAAGAACTCAAAAATAATCTGATTTACAGCAATGCCCTTGTCATTGCTCACAATCTCCGAATAAATCACAAAGGGATAAATTTGCTTTTAGTTACCAATGTAAATATGGAGGAATTAATGCTGTCACTGAAATGAATTATCAGCAAAATTGCTCCAGATTTATGTTAGTTTAATTAAATGAAATTTGGCCTCCAAGGTCTAAGCCTCTCACTGACCACCAACTCTCTATGTATAAGAACATGTGCTTGTTACAAATATGCTGTGGTCTCCACATAATGTGAATTTTGTGTGTTTTAGTTGCCTTTTTAATCATTTTCTTACATTCCTTTTACTTTGCATCTATACAGCTCTTCTTTTAGCTATTTTCTACCTAGCTCTGTAAGATGTAACTTCCTTTTGTGTGAAGAGTATGAAAAGAAATGAACAGTAACTTAAAGAAGGTAACAATTAAAGCCATTTTTAAAAAGTAAAGCCAGAGAAAATCCAGTTGGATGGTCCAGTGGTCCAATGGTCTGCATCATAGAACTCTAAAAGACACAGCAGACAAGACTTTTAGAAGCTCACTAGAGATTTTTCAGATCTTATATTGAAAATGTTTAGGGACTGGCAAATATTTTATTATGGTCCTGATTTTTAAAAAGTTTCAGGAAGGGAAACAAGAACCTTGTGACCTGCAAATCTGACTTTTGAACTAAGAGTATTCTATTTATCAGAGTACAAGTGTTTGCCCAGAAAGTTTGAAGTGAAATGGCACAGGGCTCTAAAAGGCTCACTGTGCTTGTAAATTTGATGATTTTCTTAGAATGAAGGTGAACTAGGTGCCATTTACTGCAGATGCTGTGGTGGACTTAATCCCAACCACTCGTTTAGCTGACTTGGTTTGAAATTGAGATTGTAACTGGTTTGATCAAGCATGAGAGGCAAATGTGTGTATGTGTGTTTCTCTCTAATTTCCCATCCTTTTCATCCCTGTCCTGTTCTTACTCTTTATCAACATGATGCTTCTACTGCAGAGACCTGCCTCTTCCTGCCTGCTAATCTGCACAGTGTGTAGTTGTGTACAGTAAGGTCCTAGGCCTCGGGGAAGAAGATGTGAGAGCAGTCAAACAGGAACTGAACCCGATGCAAGGCAGGGCTTTATGTGTGACTGATACGAAAAGGCAAATAAGGATATCCATAACACAATATTAGGAGCTGTGGCTGTGTCAGGCGTAGGTTTCGTAGATTTCAAAACTCAAACTGTGTCCATAAGTTGCCTGAAATAGGAAAGGCCCTGTTCCTGCAGCCCTGGGGCCTCATGTTGAAAATCTTGGTAATTTCCAAGCTAAGTTGAATCACACCATATCAGTATTAAAGCAGGAGGCCCTCTAAGAAACCTCTAGAGGACTGTGCTCTTTCAAGGCTAAACAATATTGCTCTGTGATTATTTGAACCATTTGTACCTGAAACTGTTGAGTTTGTTTTCCCAAACCATGCAGGTTAATGTAAATGGTTCATGGTCCATACAAAGCACTCCTCCATCCACTGTTGTACCTGTACAGGCACAGCAGCCTCCTCTCTGTATTGTGTTTGTTTTCTGGGAGGTGGAGACAGACCTATTGTTTTTTATTAAAAACAATGTAAAAGTTTAAGAATATTGTATTGTGTTATGACTACTGTTAAAATATTTAAATTTGTAATTAAAAGGTTAATGTTGTTAAAATTCTAAATAAAAGTATCTAAAGTTTTGCTTGTAATAGGATGCACTGTGTCGTTAATGAGCTGGGGAAGGGGACGCTGCACACAGCCAACACCACGGGAACGCTGTGTGCTTCCAGTTCAGCCAGTGTGGAACTGGGAACACTGGGGAGGTGGGAGGCATCTGTGACGGGGCAAGGAGAGCTCCACACCATGTGCTGTCACTGAGGGGGGGCAGAGTAGCGTGGGTGGCACGGTGGGGACACCAGTGTGCCTGCACCACCGGAACACTCAGCCGGGCTGTGACAGACAGGCGTCCTCACAGGGCAGGGTGAGCTTTGCAAACCCTCCAGGCGTTTGAACTGCTTGTGTCAGGAACAGAACTGCTAGGTACTCACACAGCCAGCTGCAGGCTTACCTGGCATGGCACTGACAGCTCAGCAAGAGCCATTCTCCTCTCTGAAGGGCTGTCCAAGGCCTCAGTGCAGTGCTGGAGGAGCTGTACTCAGCAAAGGTGCTGTGCAGAACCCCATCAAATTCCTGAAAGATGCCCTTGGTACTTACTAGACAGCAGTTATCAATATCAGGCTCGTAATTATATTTTGCAACACAAAATTCATTAGTGCAGTTGGATAAACTGCTCTTCAGGTTGCAGAATGCCACTGTGCACTGTTCAGCCATCACAGTGCTTACAGATCCAAGGGCAGTCTAGATGCATTTGCTAGAATTGTAAATTTGGAAGAATGGAATGAAAAGGAGAATTGTCTGGCAAAAGAATCATAGAGCTAATAGGAATGAGATCCTGTAATGTTTTGTTACAGCCACAACTCTCATTGCTTCTATGTTTTCAGTTTATGATGGAAATGGAAAGGAAAAAAGGGAAGGGGAATGTAAGAGCATCAGAGTTAAGGGGAACTCACACTTTGCCTTGCCTTACCTCACCTTGTATCTATCATCACTCATTGATTGTTTTTCCCACCTTTTCATTAAATGAATGCACTGTGTTTAATAATATTTTTCTTGTATGAAAAGCCAACATAATCAGTGGAAGGAAATATGAAAGGAAGATTACAAAGCTTACTATCAAAGTGCTCAAAGGCAGAAATGGGCACTTTTCCACCTACAAATCCTGTTCTAGTAACTGTATGTGCTGTAGCATGAAGTGAAACAGTTTAGAAATGAGTTGATCATTAAACTGCCTCAATTGTGCCTAAAAGCCACATTTGTATCATGTTCTTTGTTGTAGCTTCCGAAGAGGAGGACCCTCGAGGCACGAGGGCCGGGGGCCCAGGGGCAGAGATGGCTTTCCTGGCCCTGAAGATTTTGGGCCAGATGATGCTTTTGACTCTCCAGATGAAAACTCCAGAGGAAGGGACCATGGTGCTCGGGGGCGAGGTCGAGGTGCTCCGAGAGGTAAGGGGAATGTTCTTCCACACAGAAACACAAGGATGAGGAAGGAAAGGCGTTTCTTGGGCAGGTGACATTATTTTCATGAATACAATGTCTCTTCTCACTCCTGTCCCCTGCTTCTCTTACTGCTCAGGAGCTCGGAAGGGTTTGCTTCCTACTCCAGATGAATTCCCACGCTTTGAAGGAGGGAGGAAACCAGACTCCTGGGATGGAAACAGAGAACCAGGTAAAAAAATTCATGAGCTTTGTAGACTTCTACAATATAATAACTTCAAAAATTATTTTAAAAATCATGTATTTTTCCTGTACCTCACGTTTGTTACCAGTATTTTACCATGAGAAAAGCCAAATGCAGTTCTTTGGTCTTTTAAATTTAGGAAGAAAGAACTATACAGAATTTGACTGTCCCTAAATACAGTGAATAAAAGTGATTGTGGCCTCAAAGCCTTGATTTTCAGTTGTGTTCTTGTACAGTCCAGAATTGCCCAGGCAGTTGTCACCTCTGGATGACTGAATCACATGTCATGGGGTTTTTTTAAATATCTTTATTAATGCCAACAGGAATCTTTCTCTGTGTTGGTATCTTTTCAGCTGCAATGTCTGACAATTTATATTTGCAGTTGTATTACTAAAGGCAGCCCCATATAGGGGCAAGACAGAGCTGTAGAATGTAATGGAAAACAAAGCACAAATGGCACATGAATAAATGAAGATGTGATTGTCTCTAAAATACATGGAAGTATTTTATACTGGAAAGAACACTTTACATCTGCCACACTTTTCTTTCCCATCATCTTGAAAATCTGTTTTACCTTTAGCTTTTTTACTAAAAAATGGGACAGAGGAGAAGCTTTACATAATTTTAACTCCAAACTGTGTGCCAAACAGTGTGGGCAGTTTGTAAATTTATGTGGCTGCCTTGAAAAATGAAGAGTAACAATCCAATAAACATTACTTATCTTGTGTTTTCGTGCACAGGTCCTCGTCCAGATCACCCTCCTCATGATGGGCACTCTCCAGCCAACAGAGAACGTTCCTCTTCACTCCAGGGCATGGACATGGCCTCACTGCCACCACGGAAACGTCCCTGGCACGATGGACCAGGAACCTCTGAGCACAGGGACATGGATGCTCCAGGTGGACCTCCAGAGGAGAGGGGCAAAGGTAAAAAGCCCCTTTGATTACAACCCTTAAGTAACACTGGCATGTATTTTCAGTATTAAGTGTATCCAGAAGTTCTCTGTTCAGAGGGGATAAAGCTGAGCTGGTAAATATCTGATTTTAGCAGCTGGGAAGTTACAGACCAGTCTTACAGGAACATAAGAACAGAGGGATTTTCAAACATCAAATCCAAATCTTGTGTCCAGCATCACAGAATCCTCTTCTTTATTGCCCTGTTGAAAAGTAGTTGGTTTTTGGTTCCCTGTTACTCCAGCTGGAAAACTCATTAAGAACATTTTTTCCTCATTTTCAGAATAGTTGTTTATAAATATTAATGCTTGTGATGTTATTCTTTAACTCAAATATAAGAACATTGAGCCTGGAGTGATATGTCCCTGAAGTGCTCTCTAAACCTCTGAAGATCTCACTTACTAAAACATTATTTTTATATTTAATGGCTTTCTAGTTACCTTTTGTGTACTCCTCTAATTGCTTGAAGAATCATATAAACTTTTGATATACACAACATCCATGGACAGACCTCTAAAACTTAAATAAAGTAGGCTATGCTTTAAAAAAATAAAAAGAGGGAAAATGTTTTTCCCTTAATCTATGCTTATCATTCACTAATTTAATTTGATGTCTTGTGTTGTAATTAAGTTGAATGTTGGTCCCTGTTATTACTGAATGCCACATCTGATTGCACTGAACTCCACCACTTCCAGCCTGAACCAGCTCTTCTCCAAGTCAGAGCTCTGATTTCTTTATTCTTTCTAGAAATTGTTCTGTCTCTTTCACTATCCATGTTACTCTGTATGTGCTATTTTGAGTTTTAAATGTTCCTTTTCTAAATTAAATGAGGTAATTAGGAGTTGCACACACTGTTTAAGATGTGGTGTAGCTATGCATTTCTACACTTGTCTTGTACTTGTTCCACTTTCTCCATTCTTTCCTCAGAGTTCCTGGTGTTGTAGTTCCCTCTAAGTGGTCCCATGTTTCTGTAACCCACAGAACACATTCTTCTGGAGTCAGTGCTGTTAGCATCAGGCCAGTTCTTGATCCTATTTCTTACAGGTCTCAGGGCTTCTGTTTTCTTGTGTAAATACTGTCTTTCTTTAACGTCCTCACAATGACTACCCACTGTCAGGTACTGATCAGTGACAAACATCCTTCTCATTTGCTCCTAGATGCTGAGCTGGCAGCCTGCAGCTGAATTTGTTGCTGTTAGACTGCACAGCTCTGTCTGTTGCCACTGAACACTGAATCCCAGCCCACTTCTCTCAGCACTGTCCCAAAGCTCATTCAGTTTTAACTGCTTGCCACTCCTCCTCTGCATGGACTCTGTTCCCAGGTTTTATCATTCCTTCACAGATGTTTTAAATGTTATCACAGATGGTTTACATTTTATCATTCCTTCACAGATGTTTATCTGCTGATAAACTTCTCTACCAGTATTTTTCCTTCCATATCACATGCTGTAGTTCTCAATTTAGCCAGCATCTATCAAATCTGTAAGGACTCCTTTCCAGCTTCAGTAATGATTGTGGTAACTCTGTCAGATTCTTTGTTAAAGTCAAAACAATTGTTGTCCAGGCACAAATGTGGTAATTAACTCATAATGTGCTCAAGAAAGTTTAGAATGATGGCAGAAAGCCTGATAAACAAACCATGAACAATACTTCATATGTGGGCTGTGTCACCTTCAGTTGTATTGGGAAAGTCCTTTGAAGATTAAAACTCCATGAATGTTTCTGTGAAAGAATTTGGTGACTGTTTTACATGGAACCAACCACAGTCAACAGAAATCACTTTTGCTAAAGTGCAGCAAAAATACCTGAATTTAGCTGTAGTGTGTGTCCTTAAAACAAGGTTACCACTGATTTTGTTTTCTCAAAATACTGCTTCTTATTTTAGGCTAATGAATTGGGTTGGGGTTTTTTGTTGTTCATAGCAAACATATCAAAACCAAAATGGTATGTGAGAATTAGAAAATTCTATTCTGTGAGAATTAGAACATTCTGTTCCTGGCAGTAAGAGCTTGAGTACTTTTTGTTCCAGGTTAGTGTAGTAAAATAAAGCATTTTTCTATTATTTTTAGCAAAATATTGAAAAAAAACAGTAATGTTACTCATGATCTTCACCATCAGCCTCAACTGTCTCAGTTTGTCAACAGTGCAATGTCTTTGTTTAGGATTTAAAAAAAGTATTTTGCAATAAAAACACAGAGAGAACCACAGTGTTAGCACAAGAACTGGCAGTTTGGAGGAAAAGCTGTCATTATTCTGACTTCATTTCAGTGCCTGCTGACAGTATCAAATACAAGCTCCTTTAATTCCCGAGGAATTGCTTGATTGTTGTCCATTTTCTGAACTGTAATGGAGACACTAAATCTGTGTAAGAAACTTGTAATGAAGGAGGAGGCATAAAATTGCAGGTCTCAGCTACAGCTGCTTTATGAATGATGACACTACAGTAGAAGCAGCTCAGTATCTGGCATGTCTGAGAAGAGACTCAGCTCAAACTTACACCAGTAACTGGTTCTGTGCTTCCTTTGCAGGACGAGGAAATTCGGGACCTTCACAGAGAGCGCAGAAATCTGGGAGGTCCAGTTCTCTAGATGGAGACCACCACGATGGATTCCACAGGGAGGAAGCCTTTGGTGGAGGCCCTGGGGCAGGCAATAACCCTTCTCGAGGAGGAAGGAGCAGCAGCAACTGGGGAAGAGGAAATACCATGAACTCTGGCCAGTCCCGGAGAGGAGGATCTCGGGGTGGACGAGGCCGATAGAAGAGGCTTTGACTGGGTCATGCCCAGTCCTTGTGGGACAATATTTAAATAGACTGCTACTCTGGACTCACCTGCAATGCCACGAACCTGGATTCTTAACTGGGATAACTGAATGTGCATTAGTTCCTAACAAGGGTCTTTCTTTTCCTGAACCAGTCATTTGCCTCTAGCTGCAATATTGTAGCTACCTTTGTTTTGTTCTTTCCACTCCCATTCCCCTCACTTTCTTGTTTTGTCAAGAGCTGGAATTTCTTTTAAGTGTTGTGGAACATGGAGCATCTCCACAGATTTCAGTTCACCTCCAGACAGAAACTTGTTTCTATATGTACAGTTTGTCAAAGAGTTACGTTGGTTTTGTATGAATACAGAATGTAATTTGAGCAAAAATTAACAAAAAAAACATCAACAGTGTGTGATTCTTTACTCACCTATTACTACAGAGGGTTGTATTTAGGCAAACTTGTGTTTCAGATGGAGCAACAGCACTACCTCCTGAAATCTCAGCCAGTTAAAATACTGAGAGATGATTCCTAGGGCTTTGGTTTATCATGTACAGAGAAGTTTCATTTTCATCTTTAGTCACAGCTGTCTACAATGGTGCTGAGGTCAAAATTCCAAAATGCAGGCAATCACCACTGCTTGCTAGTCTGCCATCCTGAAACAGAAAAGAGTGGAATAGTGTTTAGAACAAGTTGTCAAAGACATAGAGTGAGTTACATAACCTGGATCCTAAGACAAACATCACAGCAAAGATTGGCATTCTGCACTTCACCTAGGCAAGCCACAGATTTTTGTTGAGAACTGCATCTGTTTTCAGAAACTGAGACAGAAAGTTTAGCAGCTTGATTGGTATGTTTTACAGCAGCTGTGTGACACACTATTTAAAGCTATGGGTGTTCAGCAGAGTCTGGTGCATTAATTGCTGAAGTGCAATTCATCATTTCCAGAATAAGTTTTTTTAAGTGTCTTTTTCTTTAGGCTATTGTTACCTGGTTTTACTAAAGGAGGGAAATGAGGAGGAGGGGTTATTCCCATTTCCCACATTTCATAATAAAGCTGCTTACCAACCACGAGTTTGTTTTCCCCATAAATCATTCCTATTAATCATCTCCAGCCACCATGTTATCAGAAGGCTCCTTTAACACCTAAAGCCTCAGTGAAAATGTTATCACATAAGTACTTATTGTACAGGTACCCCTCAGGAAAGTCCTGTATTGAAAGTAGAACATATAATGAAAAACCACTACCAGGCTTCCCTCTCTCCTGCCTTGAATTTCAGGCTATAATCAGGATGAGATTTAGTTCTAGAGGCTCCTGCAACGCAGTAACACATGGCAGCTGCTGCATCTTCTCATAAGCAGGTTTACCAAAGACTGGCTCAAGTCCTGATGTCCCATATTCCTCAAAGGCATCAAAGCACAGATGCTTAACTGCTGTTCTCTTGGTTCAGTCAGTCACTTTTTACTTGGTTTTTAATTTGTGGTGTATCAAATCACATTTGAAAATTGTAACTGAAAATCCTATAAAATCTTTTCCATGGAGCTCAGGAGAGACAGAAAGATTTAAAAGGAATTAACTAGAAACAGCTGAGATGCATTTGATATGACAGTTTGTCCCTTGAGAAAAAATGCTTTTTAGCTCTATCTGAAGGACTTTGGGCACTTTGGGTGTTGGTCTGGGAGTTGGGATTTGTCCTGAAGTTTTCATAAGAAATACTAATGATTTAATCACTGGCAAAGAGGAAAGCTTGCCCTCTTTTTTTATTTATTTAGTAAGCTAAATATATGTTAAAGGGACTAAAAGAGGTCTAATTCTTAGACCCTGTGAGTCAGAGGGTGAGCTTTAGGCTTTAATTAAACCACAGTCCTCTACCAAAACAAGGTAAAGTGTATCTAACAAGAGAAAACCCAGCTTTATCTAGACAGCTTTTATTTCCTCTGGTGATTGTTTAATTCCTTAAACAATTGAGGTACTTAAGTAATACTCTTCAAGGGGCAGCTTTTTAAATGGAGTTTTGAAGTATTTCACAATCATATGCTCAAAAAGTCCTAAGAAAATTTGATATAGTTTCTACAAAATCTTAGAAGGTAACAGCATAGCAAAGACAGAAGCAGCTTCCCATTCTGTGATACCATGACCCACTATTACTGGGAAATGGGCACAGTTATTTAATGGGATTATACCTCTGTATTCCTCAGGTCATGTTATTTTACCAGTGCTGCACACAGACTCTTATGCTCTACCTGTTAGTTCAGAGGTTGTCTCAAATTTAATTTTACACTGCTGTTAGGAATAAAATTAATTTTATATACTGTAATTTAGAAATTGTAAAAACAAGAGAGCTAATTTAATGCTCTTCTGATAGCTCTGATCTACATTCTTAATGGAAAAAAATGACCATTAGTGAAATGTCTATACTGACAATTGGACACAAATATTTTTATTAAAGCAATCTAGATACACTTAAGCACCCCCTTTAACAATTTCAGTTTAATTCAGAAAAGTATTTAGTAAATCTGTTAAAACTAAATAGTGATAGCAGGTAAGTATTGCAGTGGCTTTATTTTCTCCACAGGCACAGCTGCTCAGTGAGAACTCCCTGGGGCTCTGTGCAGTGAGGCCCCGGTGTCCCATTTCCTTGCACGGGTCCAGTGCCCGGCCCAAAGAGGAGCAGCCAGCCCTGCCTGAATTCAGCACCCTCCTAAGGCAGCTCAGCTTCTGCACTGGAGCAGAGCTCCAGTTACTGGCAAATCTATTTCTGAAGCTCAGGCTGGGACAAGTAAGCAACTCCTGCCCAAGTTCAGAGAGCAATATCTATACACAAAAATGAAGTTCTAAGAGCTGAAGCTCCCGTTTTAAAGCCCAGTTTGGTCCCTAACAGCAGTACCTGCAAACGCCAATGGTCTTGGCCAATATCAGCACTTAGCATCCTCTCATCATCATGCAGGAACACCCCCTCCCCTTACAATTATGGGCAGTGTCTGTGACCCGCAGCCCCAGGAAAGTTTGTTTCACTTACTGGAAGGTTATTTTAAAGCTGCTTTATAGAGAGAAATGCAGTTCAGTGGCCACAGTCTTCGTATTCACCACTGGTCTGAGGTGACAGCAAAACCAGTATGTGTTCATAGTGTAGGGGTCAGCACAAAATGAGGTAATACCAGTTAATTTTTCAATGTTCTCCCCTAGCCTCGATGGCATTTTGCTAAATCATCTTCGTGTTTCAGCATCCGTCAGCCTTGCGCACCTCAGCCGCTCCTCAGTCCTCAGTGCCGCCGCATGGGCTCCGACCGCGCGGTCCGCAGCAGCCGCAGCAGCAGCCGCACGCTCCCGGGCTGGAGAATGAGCGGGATGCTGCCAGCTCCCCACCCAGAGGTGGAGCGATGCCAAGCCGCGGCTATAGAGCTGGCAGCGCGGTAAGGCAGATAACGAGCCCGGGGGCGGCTCGGCAGGCTGACACCGCACACAGCACCTGCAGCTCCGAGTCACCGGGGCCGCTCCGGGCTGCCAGCCCCGCTGCTGCTGCTCCTTGAGCGCTGGCGAGTAAAACGTGCCGGGACGCGGAGGAGGCGAAGAGAAGCGGCGTCCCCGGTCTGGGAGTCGGCTGGCGACAGCGCGAGGCTCCGGCTCCGTGTGTGAGGGACTCCCGCGGGGCCGCGGCCGCTCCTCCCCGGCGCGCCGGGCTCACAGAGGCAGTGCTGCCTTGCCTCGGCCGCACACGGCGGCGCGGAGCAGCCCGGCGAGGCGGCGCAGGCCGGCGGCACCTCCGGGCAGCGCGGCCAGGAGCGCCGTGGCGGCGATGCCGAGCTGCGCGGCGGCGCCCAGCGCAGTTAGCGCGGTGCTGCGCAGCGCCAGCGCGGCGTACAGCGTCCCGAAGAGCGCCCCGAGGTACAGCAGCGCCCCGCGGCCGGGCTCCCGCAGCAGCCGGGCGGGCCCGCGCAGCAGCGCGGCGGCGCCCAGCGCGCACAGCGAGCCGAGCGACCAGAGCAGCGCGAACTTGCGGGCGCGCAGCAGCAGCAGCGGCACGCACAGCCCGGCCAGCCCGAAGCACAGCGCCGCCAGAAGCACGCACAGCCCGCTGCCCGCCAGCCGCTGCCAGCGCGACAGCCCCGGCAGCCACGGGTCCTCCTCTCCCGTCCAAGGCCACACCGTGGCGCCCGGGGCACTGCCCGGCGGGAACGGGTTCAGCGCCCCCAGCCAGGCCCGCAGCCCGCCGCCGTTCCCCGACTCCTCCTGCGAGCCGCCGGCCGCCGGCGCTGCGGGGACCGCGCTGGGACCGGTGGCGGCAGCAGCGGCCTTGGACTGCGCGAGGTACTCGTGCAGCTGCCGGCCCAGGTCCGCCATGGCGGGGACGGCACCGGGCGCTACAACGCTCCCTCCGCCCACCCCGGCGCCGCCATTTTCCCGGGCAGGGGCCACATCCGGGGCACGGCAGAACACGCGGCCGCAGGCCGGGGAGAGCGGCGCGCATGCGCCGGGGAGCGTGAGGCGCAGGGCGCGTGCGCGGGGGGCGTGAGGGCTGTGGGGGCTCTGAGGGCTGGCAGAGTCGAGCGGGCGATGGGGGCGAGGGGTTCTGTGAGGGCTGTGGAGACTGCGAGAGCTCTGCGCTCTGAGGGCTACGGGGACTGTCTAGGGCTACGGGGTCTGTGTCGGCCGTGAAGGGCTATAAGCCTGGGATTAGCCTGTCAGTGATTGACAGGCAAGACTAAAAGTGATTGACAGGTGGGATCAGCCCAGGAGATAGATTGCCAGGCGGTACTAAGAGTAATTGAAATATGGAGGCGTCCGCTCAGAGTGATTGATGGGCAGGGCCAGGGGTGATGAGGGGCAGGCTCAGCCTCCCAGGGTGAGTACAGGCAGGCCCATGGGAGTGCTCTCAGCTGCCCGGAGACACTGGGGCACTGGAGAGCTCCTGTGTAGCCAGGCTGAAATTGGGATTCCATCTCCCAAAAATGAACATCCGAGGATTACTCCCAGACAAAAGCTGCCAGACTGACAGGTCTCGCTGGCCTTGGCTTGCTGGGGATGGCCTCTCAGCTGCCCCACAGACATTGAGGCTTTCCTTCCTGTGGAAAAGGGCCATCCCTCACAGCCGGGCACCCAGGGCTGAACGTGAGATTCCACATCTCTCGCCCCACACAAGAGCTTAGCTGTTGCTTGTTAAGTGGTCAGATAACTCAAACAGGACAAGCTGTCTTTCATTGAGTTATTTTGGTGCCATGGGGTTAAGACTGGTCTGGCATCTGGAAGATAAAGCTGGATTTCTGACTGACAGACACCTCACTTTATAAAAGCTACACCAAACTTTGACAAAGCAGACATTTTCTGTAGTTTTCCTGGAAATGTGTAGAGTTTCTCCCACGAGCAGCAGGGCTGCCTGCTTTGCAGTTATTCCCCTGAAGGTTAAGTGAAAGGAATCTGTATACATTATCATCATTTCAGCGGTCAGTTACATTTGACTCCTAATCAATACTATTTCTTTTGCTAGCTTTAATATGATACCTTGATATCCTGTACTGTTTTGTGTTATGCTGTAATCTACTTGTAGTACTTTTTAGTACCAAGAATTGCTCCCAGACAGAAGTTGCCAGGACATAGTGGTCCCACTGGCCTTGATGCCCTTGGGCTGCCTCTCATCTGTACCTGAAACACTGGGGCTGTGAGCTTTCCTTCCTATGGAGAAGAATATTCCTTTTTCCCCAGGAGCCCATGGCCAAAATTTGGATTGCACCTCTAAAATTCAGTATATCCAAGGCCAGCTTTCAAGTGCACCTGAAACACGGGTGCCATGTGCTTTCCTTACCATGGAAATGCACTGTCATTCTCATCTAGGAGTCCGTGGCAGAAATTCTGAATGCCCTTGTACCTCCAAGGATTTCTCCCAGACAAAGCTGCTGGGACAGATGGGTCTGCCTGGACCTTTCCTCCCCTGGGTCACTTCTGACCTGCACCTAAAGTACTGGGCCTCTATGCTTTCCTTCCTGTGGAAATTAGCTGTAATTCCCATCCAGGAGCCCATGCTGGAAATTTGATTTGCACTTCCACAAGTGCAATGTGCTGGAGTGCTTCTGTGCAGATACAGTGTTCTGCACCACAGTGAACTGACAGACTGCAAGTGTGTAATGCTACATAAGGCTGAGAATTAACCTGCAGAGCACCATGGTTTAAAGGCTGCGAGAGGAGAGTGACTGCCACAATTGCCTTCCAAATTCTGGTTATCAGCCATGAGGGGGAAGGTCAGTGAACACTGTCTGTGCTGGCACAGGTTCCCAAGACTTAGTTGAAACAATTCTGTTTAGCTTTAGACTCCAAGATTCAGCAAATGTTGTGGTAGAAAGCTGAGAAGAAAACTGCAATATTGCACCAGTGTGTTTGCATGGCTTACATGAGGCAAGAGGAAGCTGCAGATCAGCACAGGTTCAGCAAGCTGGTGCTGTCTCAACATTTAACTAACATCCTGTGAAAAGCAACCACACCCTGGAGTCATGAATTTTCCTGCTCAGCCTCATTTACCATCACATTCTTTCACTCTCCAAAACCCAGCTTCAAAACTTAACATGTCCAGCAATGCTTCTTCTACTGTCGGTCCTAAAACAAAAAGTAAGCACTGGCCTTCCCTTTCTCCTTGCAGCCTCACAGAGTCCAGTTACAAAACTAAGAATGTTCAGCAGTTCATACCCCAGAAAAGGTTCTAGAGGAGAAAGAGGCTGTGCTGGAATTGGCTTTTCTTTTGCAGCCTATAAAGTGCCCAGTCAACAGTGAGACGATTCCTTCCCAGTGACATGCAGGATGACATTCTTTCAGTCTCGAAGATTCAGGATCCCTCACGGAGCCCCTACACCAGCTGCTCCCACACTAATAGTGCCGGGACAGAGAGGGTGTGACTCTTACCTGGGCGCTGTCAGCGCTCACAAAGCACACCACACGATGGCGGTGTGTACTTGCAAAAGAAGGAAATTCACCTTTTCTAGCTCTAAACCACCCAAAATGCAGATGCAGGTTCAAAACGTCGCTGCTCTCAAATAAACTGAGTCAGGACAGAAAGATTTCACTGACCTTCCCCTTCCAAGAACAAACTCCTATTTGCACCACACTCAAAACCAACTCCTCTGTGCTAATGAATTTTTTCTCTCTCATGGAGTCCAGCAACAAACTTGAAAACCACGAGCCAAAGTGTACTCACAAAAGTGCCAGAACTGCCAGTGCACCCATGGAGCTGTCTCCACACACTCTGCTGTCATTCAGCACTTTCCTCCTCAGCTCTGTGTACCATCAGCATCCTCCAGGCTCTCAGAGTCAGGAGCCAAACAGAAGGCACAAGCAGATGCACTTGGCTGAGAAAACAAAATGGATTTGGATCTGATAAAACACCTGGGTATGAATATTAAATATATACATGTATGTTAAATATATACATGAATATTCATGTAAATATATACATGAATATTAAATATATACATGGTACATGTGTGTAAGCTGGTGTGTGAAGAGGCAGAGGAGCAGCTTGGTCACTTGCTGCAATGATTGATAACCCCAAATTTTATGGTTTCTCTGAGTTTTCTATTCACTTTGAGGGCTGTGAACTGCTGCTGCTCTCAGGATGCTAAGACCGTGTTTGTGTCCTGGTTTTGCTGAAGGTTTAGCTGTCTCTGAGCTAAACTCATTTATTATGTGTTTTTAAAAACATTTGGGCTTTGATGTAATGATGTGTATATGGACACTGAGAAGGTGGGGCTGGGGGAAGAAATGCTCAAGTCAGCAAAAGATGAAATGGAGATGAAGTGAGTAGAAACCCCTTGAGTTTGGAAATCAGAAGAAAAAAAGGTCAAGAATGGCCCTCCAAAGAGCTTCAGGCAGGTATGTGGGGAGGGTGAGCAGAGCCAGAACTGCTGATTAAAGACCTTGCAGTTGTTTATTCCCCTAATTTGCCCATGGTAATCCAATATTTACAGCTCCCCTCCTGCTTCCAAACCTAAACCGCTCCACTTTGCACCCTATCAGTCTGTAAATGCTGTTCCCTATTTAGCAGTCAGTGAATGGAAAACTGGCATGTTGTGATTGTTGTTGTGTCATCAGGATTGCAAAGATCCTGCTGCAAAGATCAGGAGAACATTGAGGTTCTTGCTGCCTCTCACTGTGGCTTGACTGACTGATGGATTTTTGCTGTTCTTGATTTTCCCTTTTCCTGTTGTACTGTCCCTCCCCACCTCAGAGAGCTGGAACAGGGAATGCTGGAGGTTTTAATGAGGCTGATTCCACCAGTGTTAATCTCCTTGTCTGGGATAAACACAGAGTGGTAGTTACTAAGTCAGCAGCCTTGGGATGCTTTCCAAAGCAGAGCTGGAACGTTTTACCTTTGGATATTTGCCCTGAAGCTACCCTGAGACTGGGTTTAGGAAGAAAAAAGAGGCAAGGGCACAAAGGCCACCTGACAGCAACGAGGATTTCACTGCAGGGAGGGTCAGTGCCATCCAGGACCATCTGAAACCCAAAGGTTTATTGCATGTGCTGCAGCTGAATGGAGGGCAGGGGGTGTTTGGGATGAAAACAGGGCAGAAAAGGCTTGACTGAGGCATTAGTTGTCCTGCTCTGTTTCCTGTGGGATGCTCTTGTCACAAGGAAAGCTGGCCTAAGGGGCAGGAAAGATGCTGAAGCAGATTTAAAAAAAAAAAAACCAAGTCCTAAAAACAAGGATTCAAATGAAAGTTAAAAGCTTGCAAGTTTTTTAAAATTAATACAATATTTGCCTAAAAATATTGACTTAAAATTAAGAATAACAACATAGCATTGAGGTGGTTATCTGGTGTTAGGATGTTGGGGGATGAAGGAGGAAGAGGATGTGAACACAGGCAATAAAAGGTGATGAGAAAACGTGGATGTTACCAGCAAAACCCAGAGGTAACAGCAGCCCCAGCAATGCCTGGGGGCAAAGGGGATGTCTGGCCCTTGGGACCAGGTGTTCAGGAATCCTCATGACCAGTCTGACAAGTGACTTGAAGATCTGAATTTAAAGGAAAGGAGAAGGAATTTGTAATTGTGAGGTTTTGGCTGCCAGGTCTGTTTTTTCCATGACAGGAAGGTGCTTCACTTCACTCCTTGAATTCTGCACTCATTAAGCTGCTGCCTAATCCTCAGCAGTGGAAAAAGAGGAGCAGACAGAGCTTAAACTTGTTATCACCCCAGCCAGGTTTTGGTCAGTGGGGTTCCCAAAGCCTGAGTGTGCTTCTCAGCTTTCCTATTCCTCTGATCCATGGAAAACAAGGAGGAGTTTACATGACAAGCTCTTTAACATATTTATGTGAAAAAACTGTAATATTTTAAGGCCAGTGGGAATTCTGTCCCAAAGCTACAGGGAAAGAGGCTTTTCCAAAAAAAGAAAAAAAAGAAGAAAAAAAAAAGCACTTCAGGTGTACTAAGGAAGGATA